CTCTCTCTCTCTCTCTCTCTCTCTCTCTCTCTGTAAATTATATACAGACAGTGACTAATAGGAGTATATTAATGTTATATGTGACTCAGCCTGTGCTCTTTTGAAAGATATGTTCACTCAACATGCCCTCATTATAAAATTGTAATCCCAGGAGCTTCCGGGTGAATCCAGGTGAATCGGGTTTACCACAAAGAAAAGAGCAGCGGAACCTGCTGTGCATTTCCTCATAAAGACTGCAGGTCATATATTAACTATCACCTGCCAATGTAATTACCAGTTATATGGCCAATTATACATTGTATCTTTACAGGATACCCTACATTCCTCACGTGCAGAAACACTTTCACAATACTTCCCAATCTCCTCATTATACTCAATGTGTGACAGATACATTTGGCAATAACCCTACATAATCATGCTTATCTAAATTAACCCTGTGGTACAGTTACACATGTAATCTATACATATATCATTTACAGGTTCCCTGTCCTGTACATACTCTATACGTCCAAACATTTGTGGACACCTGACCATCCCACCTTCAAGTGACACCAAACTCCGTAGTTAAATCTTAAAAATAAATTCCGGTGCCTTAACTATGAACAGCAATGTATCTTATTTGTGTATCACTCGGCTGTAAATCCTCCAATCATCTCTGAATTGGTGCTGACACTGTCCTTCCTTCTGGAGGGGGGCTACGTCTGTTCCCCATGGTCCCTGTGTGTGTTGTAAAGTAGTCACCGGTCCAATCTCATGTTTAGTTTACTAATTTGTATTGAAATTGTAGTCCCTCCCGGGAGTGAGCTTGGAGCGGTGACTACTTTACAACACACACAGGGACCATGGGGAACAGACGTAGCCCCCCTCCAGAAGGAAGGACAGTGTCAGCACCAATTCAGAGATGATTGGAGGATTTACAGCCGAGTGATACACAAATAAGATACATTGTTGTTCATAGTTAAGGGACTTGAATACAAGGTTGAATAAGCCCATATGTCTAAAAGTCTTCATATCCTATAATATTACCAGTACCCTTCACTGGAAACACCTAAACTCAATAATTCGGGGATGAGTCCACATACTTTTGGCCATATAGTGTAGTTTGGCTTTCTCCTTTCAGACTCAATCTCAGGAACCTTTTATTAACACACATAAACACTGGTACAGGGCATACATACAGCAATCTTGTAGAAATTTCACCCACTTCCAATTGGACAAATATTTGAACAATCAAAAGCAACCCACTACCAACATTTTATATACTTATATGGCAGAGATGTTGGTTGGAGGAGGTGATCCATGCAATTGTTGCCCCAGAAAGTGGTATAAATTGGTATAGAAATTATCTACACCCCATCCTCATCCTTCTCCTGTCTCCCAAATGCTTTCTGTACAAAGTCTAATGAGACCGCCAAACAAAAAGGTCCAAGAGACCAAAATATTTTAAATAGTTCATAAAAAAATAACATAAAACAATTAACGCATTTCAGGGACTCAAAAAATCTCCCCTTCTTCAGGGCTGCAAAACAGACATACAAATTGGTATATATAAAAATCAATATCAAGACTTATATAAATATATAAACACAAACATTATGGTGATGTCCTTCGTTTTTTCAAGAAAAGACTTTATGATCAGCTTGATCTGAATATGTTTTGAAAATTGTTTTTCACCTTATAAATAGTTTAATTATAAGTTGTGTGTATTATCCTGTATTATTTTTTTACCCATTTCAAGTGTATCTCAGATAGTGATGAAGATCTGGTAGTGGATCAAACCCTAGAGCAGGGGTAGGCAAACTCTTGCCCTCCATAAATTCTTCATGGGATTTGTATTTGCACCACAGCTGGAGGGCTGGAGTTTACCTACCCCTACCCTAGACTTACCCCTGACGCTGTCCTGATGAAGCGGGTTGTTTCACACCTACGAAATGTGTTTCCTTCAACCCAATGGATGGCCAGCATTGGTTGTATAGATGTACCTAGTCCTGGACATTTAACGTTTTGTGTATTTAAGGTTAAAATAATGTTATTGATATGGCAGCTCAGTCAAAGTTGTAGGTGAAGCATAAAGAGGTTTAAAATAATATCCGACGAGCTTGAGTCAAAATATGAAATTTATGTGTTTTTAATCTATGGCAATACATAATAAAAATTAGATTTTAATGACACTATTGAATGTTGAGCGAGACATTAAAGTCCAGCCCAGACATTGCCTCATTCAATCACAAAGTAAAAAGAAAAACTACTAGCTCCTTATTAAGCCGGTATATAACATTTGTACATCATCAAGTTGCTTTCAGAGAAGCCTTGATAATTAGGTACTGAAGACTATTAGGCAGTAATGTTATGTATCAGAAAACAGATCGTGGTTGAGGAACTTGAATTAATTGTGAGTTTGCAGTAGTTAGAAATAACTGGGTCAGCAGGTATGTTCAATAGAACATCTATTGTAGATAACAAATATCTAACATGTAAAACACAGTTTAGTCCTTTAACATCCACTTACCTGTCTCCCTATAGACTTGTCCAGTGTTTTCCTTCCCAGTTGTCACAGGTGACTGACATACATTGCAGGTAAGTGGGATTCATTTATAAAGGAGGCTGTGCCAACAGGTGACATGTCATAGATTCCAATGGAAGCAGGAAATGTCATTCTACTAGAATGATAAACAACTGCACCTAGATAAATGAGTTATCAAACTGGCCAACTGTCCCATTACAAGGTAATGTATGAGCAACACAATGCAATATTCAGGAATGTCAGGTATGAAAAGTGCCTCAGAAGGAGCTTACTAAGAAATAATTATGTGATTTCCCTATTTAATGAAGTTCTTGATGGATTTGGCAATAAAGCAACCAATCCATTCGCGGTTAAACTGTTACTCATTTTACTGCTTTTAATTGCTTCTATATGCATTTGAATTGTTAGATAAACAGTCTGCTGTTGGCTGAATCATATGCCATCAGTGTTGGTGGAGGGGTATAGTACAGCCGATAACCAATCAGATCATAGGGATGCCAGCAGAACAAAAAACAGAAAGGCACCTGCCGAGTTTTTCAGGCGGACCCGATCGGATGCCCAATATATGTCTATGGGCAGGCGGACCTAAGCAGATGGGTGTCCGTTAACAAGCGGTTACCTCGGGCTCCGGCCAGGAAAAACAAATAGAAAAACAAATAGAACAGTGTTCTGTT